CCCGGATCATTCCTAATTTTTTCTTTTCTTTTATTTTTTGCGAGAGTGTGAGTTGATTGTATGCCATAATTATTTCCCTACCTGTATAAAGTTGGAATTTTTGTTATCGACGGTCTTGGGTGCCTCGCTCCAGCGATAGAGCCCGTGACAATTTAGTGACCGAGACACAGATTTTAGGGTCGTCACAGGTGCAATGCTGCGCGCAATAGGCACACCTTAGTCAGCCAGGACCGTGGAGCCGCCGTGGAGTCGGGGATGCGTGCCCGTCTCGCACCCCGGAGGCCCGGGTTTCATTCCCATCCAGACCGAAATATACTAAAGTTTCTTTGCAGAGCCATTTATTTACTTTGCTTATAGGAACCGTCGTGGAAATTGTGAGGTCAATCCGAGCATTTTTAACGTGTTTTTCCTCTATGCGCCGTTGGCCATTTTTAGTACCATCGCTTGGTCATGCCGCCGATGACGTCGCCGGATTTTCGCGTAGTGGGGCAAATGATCTTTTCGCCTTAAAAAGTCTTCTGACCAGGCCATCAGCCCCTTTTTACAGCATTCAATGGTGCACAGGACCAGTGTCTGCATAAAAAGCAATTTTGCATAAAATAATCAAATTGACATTAGCTAAGCATCGTAGTCACAATAGTTAATATCAACTTCATCAAAAGTTTCAACTAGAAATCATTCACATCGACATCATTGAGATCACATTCATTAACATACAATGTCAGCGTTACTGTAAAATTCTCAATTTCTGTTCCATTCAAACAGAAAAAATATATGAAGATACATGTAAGACGTTGGTATATTTTTTCAACATCAAATTATCAATAGACTTAGTTATTAATGAAAAAAATATCAAAAGCACCACAAAAAGCGCTTTGAAATCGGCTACCCACTTGTCTAGCATATTTTAAGTTTAGGTCACTGGGGCTAAAAATACACTTTTACTGTTTTCTTGAACAGGCAGAATCCTCGACCTCGGCGTACTATTTCAACAATATTAGGGTGGTTATTTATAAGATAAGATAATTGGTAATCAAGTTTAATCAAACTACGATCAAAATGATGAGTTATATAGAGCACCATTCTGAACACCGGTCCTGAAAAAAAAAGTCTGCTGTCGCTTGTTTTGTCATAGATCAAAATGCAGTCAAAGACTATAAGATACAGAATCACAAACACGCATACTGAAAGCGCAAAGCCATGGTGCATGGTTTGCACTCGATTGCTTTGATCGGGGACAGAAAACTCACGATAAGACGTTGAGCTCCGTGACATAGTGTTTTCTGGTTTTGCTTATGTCGGCTGCGCTCTGACTTACAGCGAAAATGAATTTAAACGTTTATGTCGTGCAAAATCACTTTCATTCGCGAAATGCTGACAAGGCATGTTTTATATATGTTCTTTAACGTTTCATAACATTCTCCACTGATTGATTGATTATGTTTTTAATTCTGGAATAGTTAAAACGATAGCTACTAGCTATTGGCTTGTGAGCCTCTGACGATATCGCTTTGCAGCCTCGCAGCGCCGAACAAAGGCAGTATCAAAGAACAAATTTTGCCCTGCTAGGCACTCTCGATCGGGCCCATGAGCTAGCTGGGCTCCACTTCTGTGCAAACTGGACACTGCTAGCACCACTGGCACGTTTGCTGGCATTTGCGTCACCGGGAGCACGCGCTGAACGCTGAACGTGCACTGGAGAGCAGCAGAAAGGGGGAAATTAAGAGCAGACGAGGAACATCACTGCCACGAGCCTGTTTTTTGGCCACACGGGTTAGTGCCGTTATCTAGTGGTTCAACTAATGGCTTGTTCAAGATGGCCGCCGTGGGACCGCCGCCTTAAAAGCATGCTTCAAAGGCACCGGTAGCGCGGTACGCGGAACAAGGTAGCGGCTTACTAAAAGTCCCCAGTGACAAAATCATCTACGGAACCGCCCCAGGCATGTTCTAGGCACGCTTTCTTCGTACATTCGTATGCTGAGAAACATGTTTGCAGACAGCAATGTCATCAAGGCTTAAGAATTTAGCACAAGCTCCGCTTCCAGCGCGCTCCTTGTTTTCCGCCATTCTATGGCACAGCGTTCGACGAAGTGTTATCTAAATCACTGGATCTGCTTGGTATGCGCATAACGCCTGTTTCGCAGCGACCTTATACTTTCCCGAATCAAAACAAATAAACAAAAGTGAGAAAGCTCACGCAGAAGGCGGATCATTAACTGAATGCTTAGCTTATATATAGACCAACCACACTGTTGGCAAAACAAGTACGACTTTGGTCACACCGCCGGTGCGCGTGTGCAGAAAACAGATCCGCGTCAAGAGATACTTCTGCGCATGGCGGCGTCCACATGAAGCAATGTCGAGCAGGCGACCTTCGCACTCTCAACAAAAGGATAGTCATAGGGTACTAGCTTTGGGGTAGTCAGAAGCCGTCACAGAAATCGCTACCCCCTTTAGTTATAGGCTCCTTGCATTGACGTCACATCGCGCACATTTGCACACCAAGTAAAAGGAGGAGAGGGAAGCTGCTTTTGTAAGAATTTTTAGTGACGTATTAATCTTCTATAATCTTCTGGGAGGAGAATAGCGACGCCTGTGCAAATCCGGAAGGCACAAAGGAGGGTCCTGATAAGAGGGGAGCTCCTTCTCCCCCTCTTCTCTGGAGGGTATCGGAAATGACGTCATGTGCAAGGAGCCTATAGGCTCCTTGCACAGGGCGTCATTTCCGTTGCCCTCCAAAGAAGAGGGAGAGAAGGAGCTCCCCTCTTATCAGGACCCTCCTTTGTACCTCCCGGATTTGTACAGGCGTCGCTATTCTCCCCCCAGAAGATTATAGAAGATTAGCCTGTCACTCAAAATTCTTACAAAAGCAGCTTCCCTCTCCTCCTCTTACTTGGTGTTCAAAAGTGTGCGATGTGACGTCAGTGCAAGGAGCCTCTACACCTTTTCCATCTAACCTCGACCCAGCGCGTAACGTGCGTAGCCTCGACTCGGCGACTCGGCGCACAGCGGAAATAGTTCTTCCGGTTCTAACACTTCCGGTATGCGGGAGCAGGCCTAGCCGGTTGGCAAGATGCTGAAGTGGTGCGCGTTAAATGGGTTTTGAAGCCCTTCACAGCGAAGTGAGTTGTAATAAGGTGGGTTAATACGTCGATGTATCATGTCCGCGCATATTTAGTCATCGGGCTGCCACTGCGCAGTCGTTGGCTGCAGCAGCGATTTCCGAAAACGGAAGGTAGAGCGCGACAAATTGTGCACTGAACACAAGAAGTCGCAAAGCGAATGCGGCTTCACGTATACACTTTGCATCGCTTCCCCGCTAATATCAGCGGGGAAGCGATGCAATATCAGCACATAAAAAAAGCAAATAGGCAGTATAGAAACGGACATCTACAAGTGCCTCGACAAGTCAAATGTAGAACGAATTTTGCAGTTTGTGGTGTAAATGTAAGACCCTGGGTGTAATGATTGTTACTGGCTACTCAAGTTTTGTTTTTCATTCCGTTCATTCCTACGAGGATGTGCACTATAATTTTGTGTGTTGCTCGGTAGCGACGCCCGTTAAAATCATAGAGTTATTATAATGTACGCTAGAGGTTCAGCTGGCGCTAGTGTGCTGCTGCAAATTGAAGCAGACAGCAACCAGTGGGAAATTGACTTCCTGTAATGCTTTTCTATGGGAAAAAGCGAGTGCATTTCCTCTCTGCGCTCGATTTTAAGAGCAAATATCACAAGTATTTCGTACGTACTAGGCACATTGGAACATTTCTCAGTCAGGCAGACGAAATAATTGGTCAGTTACGGCGTTTTTATTTGGAATTTGTGGCATGAAAAACGGTGCTAAAACCGTTTCGTACATGTGTTTGTGTGCACTGCCGGGCACTGTTAGCGCGAACACGGCGTCGGCGCTTTCCGCCATGGGGGATATACGTGTCAAACGAACGAAGGACATGTGGAAAACCAAGAGAGACGGCAAAAACTACGCAGTAACACTGGATATGTAACTCCTTGCGCATGCAGGCGATCAAAATTAATTGAAAGCCACGTAATATAGTCCGATTTGCAATAAATAAGCACTGCTTTATTTTTTTCTGCCCGTGAATATGTGCGAAAATGCATGTTCTAGGTTCAAATCATCAACAACACGCTCCAAGTCGTTACAAATAGGGAAAAGTCAGAGAACAGGTGCCCGATAAAACTGCCTGACATAGGAATAATAAAAAGACACACCTTTCGTAGCCCACGTGCTTTATTTTTTTACATTCGAATGTTCTTTAACCGATCGTAAAGATGCATGACAGAGTCATGTTCATAGAGTGACAGTGTGATGTTCCTGACATACGCACTCGTAAATAAAGAAGAAGTGTTGGGGGAGCTCGAGAGATCGAGGCAGGATCTCGGGGCACAACGCTTATGGAATAGCTATGGTTCTGGTCTCAGTCATTGACGTCCTAACATAACAAACTGGCGACGAGGTACTCCGTCTAGGATTGACTTCAAGGAAGCCGCTCAGCGCTACGACAAGGGCCATGTCAACGCTTGGAAGCATCGAACCCTTCGATGAAGCGGAAGGGGACTGGCCAACGTATGCCGAAAGAATCGGCCAATTCTTCATCGCCAACGACGTGAAGGAACCGAGACGAGTGGCGGCATTCCTGAGCATCATCGGCGGAAGGACCTACGCGCTACTCAAGAGCCTCGTAGCGCCGGATGCCCCATCAAGTAAGACCTATTTGGAACTTGTCGAGATACTTCGGGCGCATCTGTCACCGAAGCCGATTGTGATTGCTGAACGCTTCCGCTTTCACAAGAGGGACCAGAAGGACAGCGAAACCATCCTTGAGTATGTCGCATCACTGAAAAAGTTGGCTCAAACCTGCGAATTTGGAACAGCGCTGAGTGAAACTTTGCGAGACCGCTTTGTATGTGGCTTATGCAATGACAGCATACAAAAAAGGCTGCTTTCAGAAGAGGATTTGACTTTCAAGAGAGCGCTTGAAATGGCGGTAGCAATGCAAGCCGCATCCTCCAGTGCGAAAGTTCTACACGGCTCAGCGTCGTCCAGCGCGGAAGTTCTTAAGGTGGAAAGCAAACCTTTAGAAAAAGAAGGTTGTTCACACTGTGGTTACAAGAATCACGAGTCGGTCAATTGCCGCTGGAAGGGCCTGGAATGCAGAAGATGCGGAAAAGTAGGGCACCTGCAAAGAGTTTGTAAAGGATCAGCTCCAAAGTGGCAAGGACAAGCGTCTAAACCCTTCAGTAAGCGCAACGAAAAGAAAACGATGAAGGCTGTAACTGTGGAAGATTCCGACGAAGAGATAGAAATGCACGAGCTAAGAAGCGCGCGAAATGATCCGTTAGAAATAACGCTATCGGTCAGTGGAATTCCTTTGAGAATGGAAATAGACACAGGAGCAGCAGTATCTGTTTTGCCATTACAAGAGTACCAGGCTAAGTTTTCGCACCTCAAAAGGCAACGAAGTAATGTCGTTTTGAAGGCATTTAACGGAGCAAAGATTAAGCCGCTGTGGGAAGTACAAGTGACGGTGATGCATGAAGACAAGGAGTCCAACCTGAAGATGCAAGTGGTCGATTTCAAGGGACCACCTCTTCTTGGACGTGACTGGCTAAGAGTCATGAAGTTGGACTGGGCAAACATCAAAGCGATACACTGTTCCGAAGAGATAGGAAGAAAAGAGATTGAAGGTCTGATGGATGAATATAAGGAAATATTCTCAGATGAGCTGGGATGCGTAAAAGGAGTTGAAGCCAAACTCAAACTGAAACACGGAATGTCTCCACCATTTCAAAAGGCGAGGCCAGTACCACACGCATTAAGGGATGCTGTGGCCAAGGAACTGCTGGCTCTACAAGAAAGAGGCATCTTGACTTCGGTAGAAACAAGTGAGTTTGCTTCTCCAATTGTCCCAGTCGTCAAGAAAAACGGCGAGATCCGGATCTGCGGGGATTACAAGTCCACCGTGAATCCCGTGATCGATGTGGACAGTTATCCTTTGCCCAGAATCGAAGAGCTGTTTGCAACGCTGGCGGGAGGGCAGCTATTCACTAAACTTGACCTAGCCAAAGCGTACTTACAAGTTCAAATGCACGAAGATTCAAAGAAGTACTTAACCTTGAACACGCATTTGGGGCTTTTTCAAGTCAACAGGCTTCCTTTTGGAGTAGCCTCAGCTCCAGCAATATTTCAACGAACGATGGATCAGGTACTACAAGGCCTGACGCACACCACCTGTTACATTGACGATATCCTGGTAACAGGAAGAACAAAAGCGGAGCACCTGAAGAACCTGAAAGAGGTTCTCAAACGCCTTAAAAAGAACGGCATCCGACTTCAAAAGGAGAAGTGCGAGTTTTTCAAAAAAGAGGTGTCCTACCTAGGCCATGTCATCAGCAGCGAGGGACTACGGACACTGGATGACAAGGTGGCTGCTCTACGAGATGCACCCGAGCCAAAGAACGAAGCAGAGTTGCGCTCCTTTTTGGGGTTAGCTAACTACTATGGCAAGTTCATCCCAAACTTGGCAACCATCTTGAGTCCTCTGAACCTCCTGCTGCACAAGGATGTCCAGTGGAGTTGGAACGAAGAATGTAGAAAGGCCTTCAAGACTCTGAAAGAGAAGGTGACGTCAGCACCAGTGCTGATTTACTTTGACCCAACTCTTCCGATTGTGTTGGCATGCGACGCCTCAGCGTACGGCGTAGGAGCGGTGTTGTCCCACATCATGAAAGACGGGACAGAAAGACCCGTATCGTTCGTCTCACGAACACTGTCTACGCATGAGAAGAACTACTCGCAGCTTGAAAAAGAGGCCCTTGCCATTGTTTTTGGTGTAAAAAGGTTCCATTACTATCTGTATGGGTACCCCTTTACACTAATAACCGACCATGCTCCACTTCAAAAGATTTTGGGACGTACGACTGGAGTTCCGACGATGACGGCAGCACGCCTTCAGAGATGGGCTTGCAGACTGGCAGGACATCGATACAACATCGTTTATCGTTCGTCTAAAGAGAACGCCAACGCCGATTGCCTTTCAAGACTCCCGCAAGCTGCGAAGACTTCAGACGAATTCGTCGTAGATGAAACCTACGTGTTCTACTGCGACTATTTCAGCAACTTCCCAGTGAAGAGCACAGATATTGCAAAGGCTACGTCCCGTGATCCCGTCCTAAGCCAAGTCTTGGAGAAGGTGCTCAAGGGCTGGGGAAGTGAAAAAGGCGCAGAAGAAATGATACCATTCTTCACACGTCGGTTGGAACTATCGGTTCATCAAGGCTGCCTAATGTGGGGCCTACGAGTAATTGTTCCCCTAACTTTGCAAGAGAGAGTCCTTAAAGAGCTGCACAGCGATCACTTCGGTATCGTTCGAACAAAGGAAATAGCTAGAAGCTATGTGTGGTGGACCACCATCGACAAAGACATTGAGGACGAAGTGGGAACCTGTAAGCAGTGTCAAATGCAACGAAATAACCCAGCACAGGCACCGTTACACCCGTGGAGTTGGCCAACACAACCGTGGGAAAGAGTCCACATAGACCTGGCTGGGCCATTCATGAACAAGATGTTCTTCGTGCTAGTCGACGCACATTCTAAATGGCCAGAGGTATTCGTGTTGAACTCAACGACGTCCGAAGCCGTGATAAAATGCCTGCACCAGTGCTTCGCACGCTTTGGACTGCCTGTCAGCGTGGTATCAGACAATGGGCCACAGTTCGTGTCTCAAGAGTTCAAGACCTTTGTCAAGACAAACGGTATTGTTCACATTACGTCTGCACCGTATCACCCGTCGACTAACGGATTGGCAGAGCGATTCATCCAGACCATGAAGAACCACTTAAAGAAGACAACGTCTGAGGTGTCTATTGACACCAAGGTTTCAAGGTTTCTTCTATCCTACAGAAACACGACTCATCCAACAACCAAAGAGTCTCCGGCCAATCTAATGATGCGGAGAAAGCTGCGAACCAGACTAGATCTTCTGAAACCCACCATTTCGGACACAGTGGCGAGGTCTCAGTTCAAACAACAAAGGGCGAGGCCGGAACACGAATGCACGCTGACAGAGGGTGATGATGTCTACGCGAGGAACTATCGAGGATCGTCAAAGTGGACGCGTGGTACTGTCGTTTCTCAAACAGGACCGGTATCCTTTCAGGTACAAGTGTCCCCCGGCAGGATATGGAGACGCCATCAGGATCAGCTGATCCCGGCTCAGCCGCAACGAGAACAGTCACCAGACAGTACTCACATGTACAAACCGGTGTGTGTCCCAAAATCATCGGAAGAGACTTCAGTGGCCAACAACCAACAAACGCGTCCTAATCCTGGAGCGTCAGCGGTCATTGTCGAGGCCGAGGACATCGAGACGCAGAATCCTACAACAAGGTCGGGGTCGAGCGACGTAACGGGAGACATGACTGATGAACATCTCAAAGTGGGGCGGTATCCTACTCGAATCCGACACCCACCAAAGCGTTTTGCAAACCAGTAACTACCTTTGGTGGTTGCTTAATTAAAGGGGGAAAAATGTGATGTTCCTGACATACGCACTCGTAAATAAAGAAGAAGTGTTGGGGGAGCTCGAGAGATCGAGGCAGGATCTCGGGGCACAACGCTTATGGAATAGCTATGGTTCTGGTCTCAGTCATTGACGTCCTAACATAACAGACAGGACGGGCATATTAGCAATATATAACCGGCACCGGAATGCTTGCGAACCTTGAACACACTCTATATTCCTTTCGATAGTTAGTTAGGTCAGAATCGTTGCTCGTTTTTACATACCTGCCATGGAACAGAGGTTTGGGTTTGAAATATAGCGAAGCGTAACATCGTTCAATGGTAAAGAAAAATGCTGCAATTAAAGCAATTACACTTTTACAATATTAATAAAGGTACATACTATCCGGTACAACCGAAATAATAAAAGTTATTTCTGTTATTTTTTGGCGAAAAGACAAAATTCACGCGCGTTTTCCCATAGGAATGCACAGGAGCACCGCAAAGGTTGACTGGTTGCTGTCTGCTTCAATTTGCCTCCCGGAAGTCGCATAGACACTAGCGCCAGTTGAACCTCTAGCGTACATTATAATAACTCTATGGTTAAAATACATTAATGGAAACAATACGAAAAGAGGGCGCAAAATCGTCGTCGTCCTCCCCCCCCCCCCCCCCCTTTCACCCCCATCTCCTGAATAGTTCCGACGCATCTGGGCGTCATACGAAGTAGAGATGTCCCTGTAACTGGCGATGGTACCTCGACGAGAAACCCTCCGTTAGTCATTCGCAGAAGGCTGTAATTCTTCACAAACAACACGCGAAGAGTAAACACTGGTAAACGTCCTCAGGAAAAGTGAACATGCCTCCGATTTCGATTACCGGCGACGCACCTCTCGGCGCTGTTGGCGCAAAAACTGGCGCCATGAAGGCGAATAAACATGCCAGAACACAAGAATAATTCACACTTTCAATAACAAACAAATTAAGAACTCACTAAAGGGAAAACAATGAAGATACGATGCACGGGGTCAATGGGGACAACGCGGGAGCTAAGAACAACGCTGCTCTCCGCATACCAAAATGGGCGCACAACAACCGTACGCCAGACGGCGCGGCTGTCGCTACAACACGCATGATGGCGACGACTACGCGGAAAAGGTGTATACCAACGACCCCATGGGTGGTCACACGGCACGCAATGAACAGGTAGTCACAGTGACCACCCCAAAAGCAACATGGCGGCGGGCAAGCGACAGTGCAGCAATACGAGTGAGGCCTAGCGAGCTGGACTGCTTTTTTCTAAAATACGATTCTCAAGTGCGTACGCCCGATCGCTGTCTTCCGCACGCACTAAAGCACTCCGAAACGCGCCTCGAAGCACCGGCATCGCACCTATGATGAGTAGGGGCGACAATGTGAGGGGGGATTCGCGGGGTTTGCCCACGACTGCTTTCGCGCGGCCGGCTGGATTTGCTTCGCGGCCAGAAAACAATAACAAAAGGAATCGTCTAGCGACAAATGGAATGCCATCTTCATTGAACATGGTATCTGCTTGCCGTGCTTGCCGCAAGTGATCCGGCGTTTTCGGTTGACAGCGGCGAGGCGAGGCATCACAGATTCAAACGGCGCCGGTTCCCAGCGTTCAGCGCTCCTGCTCACCGCGGTTTGCTTTCGTTATCCACTTTCAAGTCCCTGGTTATCTGCACCGCGACTGTGCGCGCACTTCGCGCTTTTCAGCGCACAGAGCAGCCATTCAGCGAGGGGCACAATTATCACGATTGTTATCGAACGAGAGGTAGGGAGGGCAGTCGATTGCAGGGACCAGCTGTCCGTAATGCAATAGATATAGAACTGCTCAACACTTCGCTTATTGAATTGGGCGGCAGCTTGCGCCACCTAGGAAGTGTAGTAGTGACCACTAGATCGCGTTAAAAAAATAATGTATTTGTATATTCTAGATTCGACTACAACCCATATACCGGCCCACACACAGCACGAACACCAACCAACATACCGAACACTGTTACAGGCACATACAGGTCAGTAGCACAACAAGGCACAAACTACTACAACACGAAACATCCGCGACTCTCTACTCTAGCCGCCCTACCGACCCGATTCGTATATATGCCTTATCATTTTCTGAGAACCATTCGGCAAGTGAGTGCCGCTGTTTACTAGATGAATACAAAGAGTATTTGCAAGTATTATCGGTATACAAGTCCTCTGCGTATTTAGATTGGCAGGGTAGACATCTCTGTTAATCTAGCGCTTCGAAAGGTAACATGATAT